ACAAAGCTCTGTGCTCGGGAGACAGAGCATTAAATGTTCAGGCAAGGCATTCAATATTGCTGCTTTTCGGGAGGCAGGCTAGGAGGATCTCTCTTTCCATGGAGGCCTGGTGCCAGAGCCATTGTGAGAAGTGAGATAACCGTCCTGCTTCAGCCACCTCTTTTAAGTCAGTTGAAAATTGCCCCTCGTTTGATCCTTCCGATAACCAGATGTCCTAGGTTATCAGTATCGACTGGCCACAGAAGGGTGGGGGGGTCCCTCTTGTGTGGCAAGATGATTTCGTTACCACGGTTGCTGGGTGCAGCCCCCACATCTGGCAGGGCCAGATGGGTGTGGCAGCCTTCAAGCGGGCAAATGTTCTCCTAATATTTCACCTTAGTAATTTTCCATACCACACACAAGAAGAAATGCTTTTACATTACACAAAGTTACATTCATTCTTATTCTATAAATTTCCTGCTCTATCTACACTACAGATTCCCCTTTATTTATTTATTCAGAGGAATCTGCTTCCATGCTCATTACAGATCCACAAGGCTCACCCCAGGAACCTGAAAACCTCATGTGGCTTCAGGCCACACCCCTTAACAATTACGTCGGGCAGAAGCCAGTGTTTCTAATGGGCGCCTGAGGCTGGAGTCACATGCCCAAGCCGCTGTCCACTACCGACTGTGGACAGCAATTGGCCTTTTCTCATCTCTCAAGGCCTTGCCTCTGATCCATCCTTGCCGCTAATCCAAACCCAAAGTCTGGATTTTGCCCTCACTGGCTTTGTTCACTCACTAATAGCCCCGGTGAACATACCGTCTTTATCTTTTGTTTTCTTAAATCTGTCTCCCTGGGCCCCTTGTTTTTCAGTCTCCCAAACAGGCCTTTCAATTTACAGCCATCTTTGCATGTTAGCAGGATAAACATTACTCCACTGACCAAATGCTGATGGCACTTCCCAACAGTCAGAAAACATGGCGATTATAATAGGCCAGCAGACTCTCTGAGAATATTTATGGGACCTTTGACTCGCAGTATTTCTTACTAAGTATAAGTTTGAATTTTTGTTTTGTCTAAAATACAGATCTTTTTGTTCTGTTTTGTGACTTTTCCTGGACAGACGTGAACCATTGTCCACTCTCCAGAAGCGCATCAAGAACAGACTAAAGAGATAACGCTAGCTAAGTACAGCTTGGTGAACCAGAGAGTTCATTACTGGGAATGTTTCCATACAGAATAAGAGGGATGCAAGATTATTTATTTAGTGGTTTTGAACTATTTGAAGGCACGAACTCTTTAAAAGGTGTAAGCAACTCTGGGGGAAGTTCCTGTGTGAATACATGCTGTCTAACCATGGACACTGTAGAGAGACCCTGTGTGAGCACACTGTCTAACCATGCACACTGTAGAGACACTGTGTGAACACACACTGTGTAACCATGCACACTGTAGAGACCCTGTGTGAGCACACACTGTGTAACCATGCACACTGTAGAGACCCTGTGTGAGCACACACTGTCTAACCATGGACACTGTAGAGACCCTGTGTGAGCACACACTAACCATGGACACTGTAGAGACCCTGTGTGAGCACACTGTGTAACCATGCACACTGTAGAGACCCTGTGTGAGCACACACTAACCATGGACACTGTAGAGTTCCTGTGTGAGCACACACTGTCTAACCATGCACACTGTAAAGTCCCTGTGTGAGCACACACTAACCATGCACACTGTAGAGACCCTGTGTGAGCACACACTAACCATGGACACTGTAGAGACCCTGTGTGAGCACACTGTCTAACCATGGACACTGTAGAGTCCCTGTGTGAGCACACACTAACCATGGACACTGTAGAGTCCCTGTGTGAGCACACACTATCTAACCATGGACACTGTAGAGACCCTGTGTGAGCACACACTGTCTAACCATGCACACTGTAGAGACCCTGTGAGCACACACTGTCTAACCATGCACACTGTAGAGACCCTGTGAGCACACTGTCTAACCACGGGGCAGTCTAGCACGCTTGAAGGCTGTTCTCTGCCCACTGTTGTTTTTCTGTTATCCTTGGTTGAATCAAGACTATGAGAAAAACGATATTTAAAAATACATTTATCTCTCTGTGTATGTGTGGGTGTTCAGGCAGAGGAGGGCTGTGGGAGGTGATCCTCTCCTTCCACCCGTGGGCTAGGAATAGAAACCACGGAGCCATCTTACTGGCCCCCAGATATTTTTTTTAAGTGCAGAGAAGGATTTGTTATTAAGCCACAGTGTGAGTGTAGTCTTCTGTCAGCAGGAGCATTTGACTTAAAGGGATCAGGCCACACAACAGGGGGACCCCAGTTCTCTCCCTGGACAAGATTGAGGTAAATCCCACTCTAAACTGCCGTGCTAAAACAGGCATGCCTATAGCCAAACTGACCACTAGATGGCGCCACAACACCAGCTAGTTTTCTAGTATTGGCGCTAGTGTTCCATGGCCAGATGTAGGGAACAAAAAGGCGGTAGCTAAGTATGCAGGACTTGTCTGACTTTTAAGAGTATATTATTATTGTTGTTGTTGTTGTTATTATTATTTTCTAGAGAGAAAATTATTATTATTATTTTTTTCTGGAGAGAAAATATTTTCTAGTGAGAAGGGATAGGTAAAATAAATTTGCCATAAATAAGGGCAGGGCTCATCTTTCATTCGTCCCTGAAGGAAAAGTCCGGGAAAGCGTCCTGACCGCAGCACTCCCATGTACCCTGGAAACGCGTCTTAGTTTTCAAGGTTCTGAGATTTTCTATCTCTGGGAGAAGGGGCTTTGGCTGTGCCGGCCGTTCAGGTTTCTAAATAAAAGTATAAAAGCACCACATAACTTACCTTAGTGAGACCCCCAAATCTGTGGGAAGCCTTTCTAGTAGCTTATGAGTCACACTGCAGTGTGGTATTAGAGCATTTGTGTGTGACCGAAGTGTATTTTATTTCATCTATCACTGTTTTATTTTTTTCTCTTTTAAACGTACTATTCAAAGATTTCGTACATGCACTGTCCTGGTTAAGTCTTCGCTGCGCTAATCAAACACTATGGCTGAACACAACCGGGGAGGGAGAGGGTTACCTCAGCATGCAGAGACAGTCCATCATGGAAGGAAGTCATGGCAAACACCCAAAGCAGGAACCGGGAGTCAGGAACGGAAACAGAGGCCACAGAGGAGTTCTACTTCCTGGCTTGCCCCCCTGGTTCTCTGATTTCTCACAGACCCCAAGATTACCTGCCCATAGACCACACCACTTGCAGTGGGTGGGTCCTTCCACGTCAATCATCAATTAGGAACCGCATGTCCTTGCTGATAGGCCAGTCTGATGATGGAGGCACTTTCTTCCTTGCTGACAGGCCAGTCTGATGATGGAGGCATTTTCTCCTTTGCTGATAGGCCAGTCTGCTGGTGGAGGCATTTTCTTAGTCGAGGCTCCCACCTCTCAGATGACTCTAGCTTGTATCAATTTGACAAACGAAACTAACCAGTCCAAGCATATAGTTAGATTCGACCTGCCCCATGTCCACCTCCTCCTCCTCCTCTCTGCTCTCCCCCATCTTCATGTGGTCCTTTGGAACACACTGAACCCCTTAGTACTCCCGTATGATCATCCTCTGGGCCATGAGCAGCGGTGCGGGCAGCCTTTGAGGCACCGTATTCCTGGAGCAGACTGGGAGGGAAAGGCTGGTTTCAGTGTGCGGTTACAGTCTTTATAAAGTAGCATTGATGAGTACTCTTCTTTCTCTAGTAATATGCAGAACGCCTTCTACAGCTATGAAAGCTAGCAAGTACATGCTTCTAGTTTGACCAGCCGGTGGGGATGGAGTTTCCAGGTCAATGCCATGATTTCTCCATGTCCTATAACATGAATATGCGGTGTTTTCAGCAGTGGGGTTCTTACCTTCAAGTTCTGGAGGGTAACAAGTAACAGCGGCAAACAGTTTATGTTTTGAGGGGTCTATAAGTTCTCTTATTTTCTTGAATTCTGTTAAGTCTGTTACCACATTGTAAGCAACGGCTATTAGACCACACATGTTGTATCTAGCCTTGGTCAAACATATGTGACTGCATCATAAAAACCAATTGATGCCAGCGAGACAGGAAAATACAGCAGAGTGAAGCCCAAAATGGCTTGCTGCCCTCCAACGTGGACGTATCCCGATGGAGCATATATAAGAGCGCCCATGCTGTATGAACGGCCTCGTAGACCGGGCTATAAAGTCCCAGTGCTTTGTATAGTCTTTGCCATTGAGCTTCTACCTGCTGGCTCTGGCTGGCCTCCTTCCTTGGATGTGCCTATAAACCATTTCTGCCTCTGCTCTTGCCCAGGGCCCTGTCCAATTTCTCGTTCTGCAACACAGAGACCTGGAAATCCCAGTGTATGATCATCAGGCTCCCATGTTTACAGATAATGTTTTTCAACATTAAATACACATTAGCGTTGTATTTTGTTATTAAAAGGCAAATAATAATGGTTACATTCTTCAAGAAAGAACAAATAACTAATAATTCAAAGACCTAAAAGCCAACGAATACTCTTTGGAAGAATTTAACAGCTATTGTGAAATTCGTTCATATTCTTCTGATTACTAGGTTTTGGAAGTGAGTAAGCCTAGGAAGGAAGCAAGTTCATTCCAGTTGCTCTGAGTTACAGACACAGGACACAGTGTGGTGGCATCTCCCCAGCCAGGAGAATTGCTCCCTGGGGAGGAAATGCCTTATATACGCTTCTTGCTGAGCCCCCCCTGGGAAGTCCTTAGTTTTGGGAAATGAGCTGGAGGCCTCTCTGTTGTAAATGGGGAGAGAAGAGAGGCAAGGGCTCCCCGAGTCTCTTGACTGTCAAATTCTCATGGGTGTGACTATACCATGAAAGATGTAGTCGCTCAGAAATGCCAACACCCAAAGGACATGCAGCGAAACGCATGTACTCCCTGCTATGGCGTGGACCTCAGTGCCTGCTTCTCACGCCCCTGCTGTTTGGTTGCAGGTCTACAGTTTGACAGGGTACTGGGCCAAGCTGAACGCCAACCTCGAGTATGTTAAGTACACGAAGCCCCACTTACACTACCACAACAGCGTTGTGAGGAGAGAATGGCACAACCTGATCTCTGAAGAGGTGAGCGTGCGCACACACACGCACACACACACACACACACACCTAGCAGTAGAGACGGAGCGAGACCCGCCACAAGGCTGCCTCAAACTGCCTGTGCTCTTCCCTGTCACCAGGCTGCCTTACCTCAGTGACAACCCAGTGGCAGGCAGGGTCACCTCTGCTGTCTGTCCTTTGAGGAAGGAATGGGAGCAGGACAAGTGAAGGGTGTGTAGCACATCCATGACAGAAGCACAGGGAACGTGTCTCGGATACAGTTAGATTACCTGAGTAGCTGAAAGTTCATTTAGAGAAATTTAGGTGTCCCCAGTCAGCGTTTGCTAGAGGTCAGGAAGAGGAAGAGTCCGTGAGACTGACTGTGAAGGGGTTGGACAGGGAGCTCTCCAGGGAAATGAAATAGTTTCACCGTGGCACATTGTAGTATGTACATCTACACACATGATAGAATGGCATAGGACTAGACACATGCTATCACACCCATTTCCTGATTTTGACACTGTGGTCTAGTTACATTAGATAGAAACATTAATGAGAACAGGGTGAAGGGTGCCTGGGAACCCTGAGCTACTGCCGTAGAGAGGCCCAGGGTCCTGCCATTATACTGCTTGAGAAAAAACTTTAATTAAAAAATAGGTGTTCTCAATACATGGGAAATAATAGTATTTTTGAAATCTTTAACTACACTGATTTTTTTTTTTTTTGATTTTCGAGACAGGGTTTCTCTGTAACTTTTTTTTTTTTTTTTTGGTTCCTGTCCTGGAACTAGCTCTTCTAGACCAGGCTGGCCTCGAACTCACAGAGATCCACCTGCCTCTGCCTCCCGAGTGCTGGGATTAAAGGCGTGCGCCACCACTGCCCGGCCTTGATTTTTGTTCTTGCTATTAAAAAAAAATCTGTCCATGAAATTTCCACTTTCCATGTTCCTGACATGCTCTCTCTCCTAGAAAACGGGGCAAAGAAGGTCCACAGTGTATGTGAAGAACATTCTCGACAACGCAGCCAGGTAAGTGTGGCTGGCCTGGTCGCCTGCCTAGGTGGCCTCTGGCCCACTCGGCTGCCTCGGTGGCGTGTGCTCGGTGAAGGGCTGTCCTTGGCTTCCTCTAGACCATGGGAAAGCCTCTAGAGAGTGGCAGCCTAGGATGGATGGCTTGAGATGGAGAGATGGTGAAGAAGGGAATGCCGTTGAGGGTGGAAATAGGTAGTGAGCTGTTTTAAGTTGCTGGTGTAGCTGGCTCTTATTTTGAAAGTGGTTTCTGTGCAGAGGCTTCATCACGGAGAGCTGAGCGTGGAGACCCATTCCAGCCGCCGTTCTATTTTCTGCCTCCATTATTTCCAGTAACTGAGAGCTGCAGTTTCTCTCAGTAACTGCTGTTGCTGGCACTAAAGGGCTTTGAGATTAATGCGCCCTTTGGTACTGAGCGAAGTTTTTGAGTTCCCTGGTAGGCAGAGAGCAGCTTCTCAGCGGTTTTGTGGGACTTTCGAGGAGGTATATCTGTGCAGTGTCGGGGCTCTTCGTTTTAAAAATGATGGCTCCTTTGTAAAGAACACACCATTTCTTTGCAGGGTGATTTCTAACATGGAGTCAAGGGCCCTGGGTAAGAAGAGACCTGTACTAAAGTCCATGTCTTGTTTGCAACACTGTTCTTCTGAGTCAGCGGACTGGCAAGAAAATCCCTTGCAGCAGGATAATGGGGTATCATTGATAGCAACAGCTTTTAACCGTGACCACATAGCCAGTCCCACGTCTGTCTTGGCACCGGGTCCTTCCAGGGGCAGCTGCTGAGTATGTTTTTGCTGAAACAGTCCCTGGGTGTTGGCCTTCTGGTTTTCCTCATGCCTCCTCTCAGGGCTGATCTAATCAGCGTGGCCTCTGGCTGCCCCTCAGGGTGCGCTTGGTTCTCTTGCCTGAGCTGCTCTCCCCAGCTGTCTGTGCCATCTGTGTGTCTTTCATTCTGGTTCCCACCGGGTCATGCCCTGGACTTGAGCAGTGTGGTTCTGTAGGGTGGACACCAGCTTTGTCTCCGAGGCTGTCACATGCCAGCCCCCAGTGCCTACACATTGTCTTCTAACCAGGCCCAAGCCTTTCTGATGTTGATCATCCTTCGGGAAGGACAGCCATCATTAAGGAAACTATTTTTAATCTACTCCTGTGTTTATGGGCTTGGATGTTTTCATATGTGTGGAGACCCTATGAGAATTAACTTAGAAAGTGTGTTACGCACACTCAACAGCTGTATACACAGCTCCGTGAACCATGAAGGTGACTTATCTCCTGGGTGACCAGACCATCCTCCTGTAGCCGGGGACTGTGCCCTACTAGACAAGGGATAAATGTGTTACATCCATTCCTGCTATGCTTAGAGGCTGTGCAGTGTGGGAAATGTGGGAGATTTCGGAGCTCTGCTTTGTGCCAGGCCTGTGACATCATCTTGAGGGCAGTGGCTCCCTTCCGGTGCCAGGCTTTGCTCCGCGTGAAGGATGCTGTCTGTGCTGAAACTGAACCCCGCAAACTGAGGGTTGTTAAGTTCATATTCCGAGTACTTTCATCATAACCCAGAGTGTTAAGCAGGGTGGAGAGAGCATTCATCCTAAGGCGTCAAGAACACCCATGCCTTTTAGAAGGGAGCATCAGCCAGTGGGTTCTTCCCTCCTTCCTGCTCTGGGCTTCTGGGAGAAGAACCCAGTGGGGGTGCCAGGAAAGCCTATGAAAAGATCTGCTTGCCTGTTTGCCTTCCCCTGCCCCTCCTGTCCTGTCAGTGCGGGGTCAGTCAGAGTGGGGAAAGCGACTTTTGGTCTAACTCTCTCGCTGTTACATCTCAATCTGAAAGTTTGTGCCCATCAGCACTGTTTGCCTTAGTTATTGCTGCCTCATCAGCTCAGTAACCTTCAAGGCCGCTGAACTGTGGGGTCAGGAAATAGAAGGGAGCCACACAGTCCTTCCACTGAGGCCTGCCGTTCCCTAGAATTAGGTCTCTTGAGGGTAAGAGGCTCAGGTCAAGGCCTGGCTTGTGTGGTTCTCCTAGCCCACTTCCTGAACACTACCTCTGATGATTGCTCCTTTGTTCACCTGCAGAGCCAAGGTTGATACCTCTCCTACAAGAGGAAGATCGGCACCAGAGGCTGCTCGTGGGTCTGGTAGGTAATCCGTGGGCTTCTGTAATGCGGGCGAGCAAGTGGTCTCAGGAAACCGTGGGCAAAGACAGATGCCATTGTCCACTAAGTATTCAGCAGGTGCCAGCACAGTAGCCCAGTGTCCAGTAGCGAGCAGTACACATGGAATTGTAAAGTGCAATAAGGAACACATGTGTGCCCACATTCTGTGATTCCAGACACATGCCCCTGCTTTAGCTGCTCCATGGGTTCTTGGGATCTGAGCTCAGGTCCTCAGGCTTACGTGACAATCCCTTTCATCCACTGAGCCATCTCCATGGCCTGTGTTTGGTTTTTGACTATCAAATTGACAAAAATTTACAAACTATAATAACAAGATTCAGGATACAGGGAATTGGCCATTGTTATGCCACACGCTGAAAATGAAGACAAACTGTTTTGGTGGCATCTTGCAGAAGCGTGAGAGACAACCAATTTTACTTCCAGGAGCTGAAACTGATTGAAAGTTATGGCTATGGCAAAAAACCCTTTTCTTCCCCTCCCTCACTTTCCAATGAGGCTCTAAGCAAGAGGACACTGTTTCTGCGCTGACGCTAATGTAAACTTGGTCAGGTGTGATCATGTGTGCACACTTGTGTGTCATGTTGTTAACAACAGTGAAGAAACACGCACAAAAGGAAATAAAAAAATTATAGTACATTTCACAAACTTAAATACTTCTGTTCATTGAAGCCTGTGTGCATAACTGCATAGGGTAGTCTAGAATAGGTGTGCATAACTGCATAGGGTAGTCTAGAATAGGTGTGCATAAGTGCATAGGGAGACTAGAATAGGTGTGCATAACTGCATAGGGTAGTCTAGAATAGGTGTGCATAACTACATAGGGTAGTCTAGAATAGGTGTGCATAACTGCATAGGGTAGTCTAGAATAGGTGTGCATAACTGCATAGGGTAGTCTAGAATAGGTGTGTATAACTGCATAGGGAGACTAGAATAGGTGTGCATAACTGCATAGGGTAGACTAGAATAGGTGTGCATAACTGCATAGGGAGACTGGAATAGGTGTGCATAACTGCATAGGGTAGTCTAGAATAGGTGTGCATAACTGAATAGGGAGACTAGAATAGGTGTGCATAACTGCATAGGGTAGACTAGAATAGGTGTGCATAACTGCATAGGGAGACTGGAATAGGTGTGCATAACTGCATAGGGTAGTCTAGAATAGGTGTGCATAACTGCATAAGGTAGTCTAGAATAGGTGTGCATAACAGAATAGGGAGACTAGAATAGGTGTGCATAACTGCATAGGGTAGTCTAGAATAGGTGTGCATAACTGCATAGGGAGACTGGAATAGGTGTGCATACCTGCATAGGGTAGTCTAGAATAGGTGTGCATAACTGCATAGGGAGACTAGAATAGGTGTGCATACCTGCATAGGGTAGTCTAGAATAGGTGTGCATACCTGCATAGGGAGACTAGAATAGGTGTGCATACCTGCATAGGGTAGTCTAGAATAGGTGTGCATACCTGCATAGGGTAGTCTAGAATAGGTGTGAATACCTGCATAGGGAGACTAGAATAGGTGTGCACACCTGCATAGGGTAGTCTAGAATAGGTGTGCATAACTGCATAGGGTAGACTAGAATAGGTGTGCATAACTGAATAGTGGAGGCTAAGATGTACATGCAGGTGCCAAACCATGAGATATTTTATTTTTATTTCAAATTTTATTTGTCAATTTGATTGAGATATTAGATGTGTTTTATCCAGGCCACTGACCTCGATCCCACTGTGTACCTAAGAGAAACTGACCTTTAATTTCTGATTCTCCTGCCTCAGCCTGCCGTATGTTAGGATTGTATAAGCATCAGGCCAGGCATTGCTTTTCATCTTTATAGTCATTACAGAAAAGTTAAATAGCACAAAAGTACATAGTAATTCTTAAATAAACATCTTTAAAAAGCCCAGTGCTGGCCGCGCGGTGGTGGCGCACGCCTTTAATCCCAGCACTCGGGAGGCAGAGGCAGGCGGATCTCTGTGAGTTTGAGACCAGCCTGGTCTACAAGAGCTAGTTCCAGGACAGGCTCCAAAGCCACAGAGAAACCCTGTCTCGGAAAAAAAAAAAAAAAAAAAGCCCAGTGCTGAATTGAAATGCGGAGACATTGTGTCTTGTTGCATCCTGAGGTCACACTGAGTTCATTAAGGTGGAAGGTTTAAGGTTTATGCAGTTTTATGCAGTTTATGATGTTGATACCCTGGACAGTTCTCACCAGATGCTCATTGCACAGGATCTCTTTAGCTAAGACAAGAACAGCAACAAGAAAATCCCTCTTGCTGAGTGGGGCTTTTAGGCCAAAAGGGAGAGCAGGAGAGGTAGCAAAAGGAAGGGAAAGAAATACATGAAGACGGAGGCCTGAGGATGCAAACCTTAGAAGGGAGACTAGGGCTTAGAGCAGATACAGAAGCCTGGGACAGAAGAATGAATTTTCATTACCTTCACCTGTGATGTGGGTGGCACAGTGCAGATGTGGTGCCTGCTGCGTTTCCTTCTAGGTCTAATGTCTGTCCTTCCAAGATTACCTACTGGCACCCCCTGCCCCCTACAGTCTCTGTCTCCATGGAGCATAATCACTCCATGAAACATGGTCCCTCTGTGGAGCATGGTCTTTGTGGAGCACCGTCTCTGTGGAGCACGGTCTCTCTGTTTTGGACCTGCTCTTTTTCCAGAGCTGTTAGTGTTGTAGGTTTCTTCCTTTGGGGTGTCAGGGGTGAAGGGTTTTCCTCAGATGAAGAAATTTTCATGTTGATGTGAAATATTAATAATAACGCTAACGACAACCGGCCGCAGGTGTGGCTGTGCCTGTCCTGACTCATCTAGTGCCTCTCCTGTTCTCAGATGGTGTCTGAGCTAAGAGATCATCTATTGAGACACCTGCAGGGTGTAGAAAGGAAGAAGATCGAACAGATAGTTCTGGACTACGTTTCAAAACAGGTCGGTTCTACCTTTTTTTCCTAATTTTAGCCCTACCCTTAGCCCCATGTCTAGTGCTCAAGATGCCAGCTGGTGAGGCCATTGGTTGTTTAATGTGTGCGTGTTTATGTGTTTGTGTATGTGTGTGCATCTGTGCAGTGGAGGATGGGAGTGCCCGTGGGCATGTGGAGGCTAGAGGTTGACTTAGCCACCCTCCATCACTCTCCACCATCACTGGATGGCTTTGTGCAGCTGGCTGGCCAGCCAGTGGATTCCAGGAATCTACTAGTCTCTGCCCTTTCCATTATGAAAGTCAGGTTCCCTGCTTGACTTTTTATGTGGTATTGAGGCTGCACCTCAGGCCCTTGTTTTGCGTAGTTGGCAGTTTAGTGACTGAGACTGTGTCTCCCCAGCACCCTTGTCCCCCACTTTGCTTTTCAGCTTAGGTTTTGGAGATTTCCATCTTCAGCCTGGTATATTTGGTGCTATAGATTGAAAGGAGGGCAAAAGGAACAGCAAACAAAGAAAACTTGTTGTGGAAGGCAGCTTTCTGTCCTGCTTCAACTAGCTGTCCTGTGTTCACGGAAGCATACGACAATAAGACCAGGGTAGCTACTAAGTGGCCACTTCTCATTTGGCCACTTCCACTTCTTTATTAAACAATAAGTCTTGATTTCCATAATGAAGTTTTATGCAGATATGAGAGAGCTCGCACTTTAAATCTTAATTGGCTCCCAAAGCCAAACTTGGCTAGCTTCCAGCTCAGCTCTCCATCCCCCGTCACATCTGCCACTGAGATGGTAGCTCATTGCCTGTTTGCCATGCATTGAGATGGCTTTATTCAAATTAACGACACCTGTTCATATGTAGATGCAAATGATGTTCTGAGACTGGATTTCAGCCATATTTGCTTTTTCACAAAGCACCGAGACTGATGTCTGGTCCTGTAGAACCTAGAAATAATACACTTGACAAATCGAAGTATTCAACGACAAAGAGAAAGAAGGTCCCATGATTTTTCCAAGTTTGGGTAAGACCGGCATGCAAATGGGAGTGAGCTTTATAATCTTAATATACTAGAAAAGGCTGGATGTTGTTACATAATGATATTTATGGTTGGAGTGTCCAGTCTCTGACTGCCTCTCAGTAGAATGGCGGTGAAATGCCCTTTAATAATAAGGTGTTGACCTGCCCGCTCCACATTGACAGAATGTTCTCAGTCATCCATCTGACTTCAAAGATGAAAGTCCTCTCTGTTCTTTTGGTCACCTTTAGTTTTTAGAACAAGGTCAGTTCTGAAGCAGTCTAGTAAGCAATCATGTTGATGAGAGCAGATACGCAAGGTAGAGGTGGCTTCCTGGGGTCTGTAGTCTTCAGGAATGAGCAGGAATTACTTGCATGAAACCACGTCAAGCCAGCAAGACTTTGTGGCACACATGGGTCATTTTCAGAATTGCTGGTTACCCAGACATAGCTCCTCCCCACAAACAGCCTTGCCTGCTGCTTATGCCACATGGCCAGCTATAGTCATGCCTTTGGTGATCATACGGAGTTGTACATAGTGGCGGTGAGGGATTTGTTTCTCCACACCAGGTGACAGGCACCAGGTGCCTTTCAGCTCCGGATGTGAGACTGGGGCCTTCTTGAAGCGTAAGGGTTAAAGAGCCTGTCACACTGAGGGTTTTCTTTTGAAGCCACCACCGACAAAGCTGGTGTTGGTGCCATCTCTCCACGCCTGTTTTCTCTTTTCTCTCAGGAGACTTCCTTTTGGTGTGTCTGGCGTCTGTGTCGTTTGTATTTCCTTAGCAAGGGACTGTGTACGGAGGAGCCTAACTTTAGCTCTCCAGCCCTCATCTGAGCCTCTCTGCTTTATTCTTTTTTCTCCTCGTGGGATCTCAATGATGTCTGTGGCATGCTCTGCAGACGTCTGATGTTTATTTTCTGGTGTGATGACCTCTGCAGAGCCATTGGGAACAGCTTTCGGAGCACGAAGATGCTCCCGGAGCTGTGTCTGAGAGGTCCGTCACACCTCTTTCTGTTCACTTGAAGTCCCCCCTTCTACAGTGCTAAGAATGTCCACTCTATCATCCTTTCTCACTCCGCTTCACGGACTTCATCACACGCAGGTTTTCTCGCGGGGTTGTGCCGACTCCTAGAGCCAAGAGGCCTAGAAATTATGCCTGTGTTGACCCAGAAACACCATGCCCCTGACTTACCCAACTTGCCCAGCTGCAACCAGCCATGCCTCCAGTGCCTGGTTAAAGAGGGTGGCCAGGCAGTCTTTCTGGAAATACGCTCAAGGAAGTTGGCACAGAGCTTGATGATGTTGTCCGCATGTAACTTGCATTCAGCCGAGAACTCTGTATCCCGGAGGCTGTGCACGGAACTCCTTTCTGTCCTGCCTCCTGCTCTTACCCTGAGTGTGGGTACCCTGGTTTATGATGGACAGCCGTGTGGAGACTGCCCTACCGCTGACAAACGTGTACAATTAGACTAGGTTTCTAGATAAAGCCCTAAGACCAACCAGGCATCTGGCTTGGGTGATGCAGTGTTGTTTGTTGAGCACTGGCTCCAGGAAGTGAAGTGACGTAACTAACACTTACCAACAACCCTGTGAAAGCACTTCCTTTCGTCTCACAGAAGAAGACCCTGAGATTTGAGAGATTTGAGAGGATGGGTAACTTGCCAGGGAGACACAGCTCCACAGAACCTGGCCCTGAGGTCATATCTCCCCACAGCTCATGTACACGACTCCATGCCCCTCTCCCATCTTTCTTCGCTCAGCTCTCAGCCCTGGCAGTGTAGCAGGCTGACAGCTATGCCATTGGCATTTGACCTTCACCAATGGGTGAGGGTCCGTATGGGTGGTGGAGCCGACTAGCTTCTCAGGGGAGCATTGCCAGCACAGACAGAGGGTACTCTGTTACAGTCGGGGCACATTTCCAGGCGTTCCCTTCTGGATCCCAGTGTCTCGGAACCGATTTCAGAAAGGCTTGTTGTATGGTGTGCCCAGCCGCAGCCCCGAGGGCCAGCTGCCTTGGATGTGCAGCCAGAGCTGCAGAAACACAGCCGGGAGGGCGTTGAAGGAAGGGATGCAGGCTGTGGGTCACGAGTCCTCTTCCCTTCTAGCTGAATCTCGTTTGGTGCATGCTGGAGACCAGCTGGAGGAAACACGGAGCACGTCCTTGGGTTCTCCACCTGTACGCAAGTATTTCTCAATCTCCTCGATCTTGGCAAGCAAGTCTGAAGCGGTGCTCACCAGCCCCACCACCACCACCTCTCAGTTTCATACTCAGAATTCAAGGTTACTTCAGCTATTCTTTATGGCATGAGGTTGATGAGGAGGGAGAGACTCATGAACCTACTACTTCTAAGAAGGGAAATTTCAATTAGTGTAATTTATAACTTATGAGCCCACTGAGGACGGTGTGCGATGCTGTGCTTTAGGCTGTTGGCCGGTCTCTCATTCCTGAGGCTTTCCATGGGGTACAGCATTTCATAGGAATCTCTGTAGGTGGCACTCAGAGCCACTACTCGAGACTGGAGGGCACATGGTTGACTTACTACTGTGTTGTTTTTACCCAGCAATAACCATGGCAGCACTGCACACTTTGAAGTCTTTCACCTCATGACCAGGATTTTGGATGCCACAAGCAGCCTGTGCGTCCCCCTACCTCCTGGTGAGTTTGGCTCTTTGGTTGTCCGGTCATAATAAAGTTGTTTCTCACGTGGTCTCCAGAGAGTAGCGCCCTGAGTTTCAAGATGGCTCCCGAGTGTCTGCAGCCGGCTCTGGTGGAGGATAGCCTTAAGGTTGGTCTCCATTGGCCAGACCTCCCGGAACTGCTAACTCTACCATCACTGCCTCTAGGGAGCAGTTGCATTCCGTTCTCGTGTGCACGTCTAGCTGATCTTGCACCAACGGTGCCCCTGCAGGGAACTTGCTCCTGTGGCTTCTCCTGCTTTCCTCTATGGAGAGACCTGAGGGTAAACACAAAGGAGGGAGAGGTCTGGCTTGGTGTCAAGGATCAGGCTGGCCCTTAAGCGCTTCAGATTCTCAGAGAAGCCCTAAGCAGGCTTCAAAGATACCCTCAGCATATATGTGTACAGTTATTCTTATAAGTGGTCCTTAGAGCAGTCCCTGAATGTGTGGAGTAACTATTTCCCGCCAGGTCACGGACAAGAAATGAAAGCAGTTACAAACACTAGTGGGAGTGGAACAGGGTGATGTTTACATAAGTCAGAGCACAATAAGAAACGCACAAGCTTCTGTTTGCCACAAACATCCACCTTGTGTTGACTTTGTCTCCTTTACTGTAGGAAGAGTTCTAGCACGCAATCAACTCTAACGCTTTAAATGGGCAGAACAGTGGCATCTGCAGGCACAGTGTTATGTAGTAGCTCTCCAGGGATTTCTCAGCTCACAAGCAACTTCTTTTCACATTCCATGGACAGCAACCTCCCTTCCCATGTCCCGGCCTGGGCCACCACCTTTCTTTGTTTCTCTGACTCTACTGTAGACCAGTCTTATAAATAGACTCATGTAGTATTTGTCTCGTCTGTGGCTGGCTTCTTTTAACCTCTGTAGTGCCCTCTAGATCCACTCATTTGTCATGGATGGCAGAATTTCTTCCTTTTTAAAGCTGAGTAAAACATACATGTTTATGTATGTTTATGTGAAACTGAGTATTACATGTTTATGCAATTTCCATGTTATTTTCCTGTTTATCAATGCACATTTGTGTATCTTGGCTAGTGTGACCAGTTCAATGAACATTAGTGTACAAATCTTTTTAAATACCTCGCCTTTAATTTTTTTGGGTGCTCAGAGGTTATGGGATCAATGCTGGTTCCATTTTCAGCTTCTTTGAGAGGGTTCATGCAGTCTCTCATAGTGACTGCACCGAGTTAGAGTCCACCAGCAGTACTCAACGGTTTGAGTTTCTCCACACTCTTCTGACACTTACCCCTGTTTTGGATGCTGAGAGGCGGGAGGTGATACCAGTGTGGTTTTCATTTGTATTTCACTGGTTAGAGATACTATCTCTCTATGTAATTCTTGACTAGTTGTACGGCTTCTTTAGGGAAAAAAAACAACTCTGTCTAGATCTCCTACATGTTTAATAAAATCAGTTGTCATCTGGCTACTGACTTGTTTTATTATTTGTATGTTCTGGATATCAGCCCCTTATTAGATTTCTGGTTACAAGTATTTTCTTTCTCATCTTGTGCCTGCCTTTACACTCTGTTACCTTCCTTGCTTTCCTTCACCCCTGAGCCCCTCAACCCCATCCCCCCCACCCCATTGCATCCTTCACCCCTGAGCCCTTCAACCCCATCCCCCCACCCCATTGCATCCTTCACCCCTGAGCCCCTCAACCCCATCCCCCCGCGCCCTATTGCAGGCTCAGGCAGCTCAGGGTGACTGCAAACTTTCACAGCCAAGGCCTTGAACCCCAGGTTCTCTTACGGCCACTCCGAGTGCTGGGATTGCCGGTGTGATTCAGCATGCCATTCCTGGCTTCTCCTTGTCTGTTAAATGCCATGTTTTCTAGATGATAAGGGAAGAGAGGGTAAAGTGACACTGTGTGCGTGTGCATGCGTGTGCAGGTGTGTGTGTGTACAAGGGGTCAATACGTGCATGTGTATAAGGGTGCTTGCTTTTCAGGTCTGCAGGACTAGGGAGATTGTTTGAGTTTCAAGAGTCGCACACTTAAGTAAAAGAAAAGAGTGACGAAGTAGCAAGTAGAGTTTTGTTTTAGGTTTTTTGTTTTTGATTTTCTTGTGTCCGCACCCCCCCCCCCAGACAAGGTGCTTGTCCTGGAACTAGCTCTGTAGACCATGCTGGCCTTGAACTCACAGAGATCCACCTGCCTCTGCCTCCCGAGTGCTGGGATTAAAGGCGTGCGCCCCCAAAGCGCGGCTCTTGTTTTTGGGATATTGTTTGTTTGTTCTGCTATTTCTCCCCCGGGGCTACAGCAAGATCAGCAGCCCTGGAGCGATGAGGATTCCTGGCATGAACTGGTGGCTAGTTCTAGCCTGTGTGCTCTGCTCAGATCTGGCCAACAGAGATGAGGCCATGAATAAACCCCTGCCCTTGGGTCTGCGCCAGCGAAGCAGATGAAGGGCCATTTGGATGCTCAGGATTTACGCCGGATTCGAGAAGGAATTTCGAATCCCGGAATAGCATTTCTTGATCTAGCATAAATGCTTTCTTAGGAATAATTTTTGACTTCATTATTCCGGGAAAGCATCCCCAAGCCTACATGGCAACATCAGCCTTGGTTAGTAATACTATAATGTGTTTTGGATCGGGGACTTAGTGAACTCAGTCTATTTTGGTTCATTCACATCTGCCCGAGGACAACATCTGCTCATCATCTGACCCCTGATGTTGCCAGGGATTAGGACGTTCCGCTGCTGGTGACTCACACGTTTAGAGAGGAGATGCCATTCTTTCTCAGAACCCAAACCCCGTCCCTACGCATCATTTGTTCTGCCGCACGCACCCCCGTACGCACCCTTGTACGCACCCCCCCGTACGCACCCCCTGCACGCACCCCCCGCACGCACCCCCCACACGCACCCCCCGCACGCACCCCCCCCCCCCGCACGTACCCCCGCACGCACCCCCTGCACGCACCCCGAGAGCAGCTATGGTCCTTTGTCAACCCCGCATCTCGTTGGTTGTTCAGCATGTACACGTGGCCGTGGGACTCTGCCTGTGCTGGGTACAACTTGAGTCAGCTTGACATAAGCTACAGTCGTCTGAGAGGAGGAAACCTCAACTTCTCAATTGAAGAATTACCTGCATAAGATTGGGGCGTAGGCGAGACTATAGGGCATTTTCTTCACTAGTGATCAATGGTAGGGGTTCACCCGTTGTGGGCGGTGCCATCCCTGCGCTGGTGGTCCTGGGTTCTATAAGAAAGCAGGCTGAGCAAGCAATGAGGAGGGAGCCAGTAGGTACTCCTCCTCTGTGGTCTCTGCATCAGCTCCTGCCTCCAGGTTCCTTCCCTGTGTGAGTTCCTGCCTCTATGGCAGGATGATGAGCTGTGATTTAGAAGGTGTTAGTGAAATAAACTCTTTCCTCCCCAAGTTGCTTAGGTTCTGGTGTTTCACCACAGCCAGAAACCCTAGCTAGGACACTTCCCCTCGTCTTCTTTCCCCCTCAGTGCCCCCAGTCCATCTCGTACATGTCCAGGCCATGGTGTTCCTACGGGTCCTAGGATAGTCTTGAGATGGTGCTCCTATCCATTCCTTATCTGCTGGCATATTAATATTCCCAAAGTAAAGTCCGGTTCATCTTTCATCATGCTCAGAGACCTTCAGTGACTCCTCAAAGGTTCCTGGATTGACAAATCTTTTTTGGTAGCATTGAGCATTGGGTCCTTGTTATGTGTACACATGCGTAGAACTGGTCACATGCAAACGTGTGATTAATTTATGATGAACTGATCGCCAGCTCTACCAGACTGCAAGCTGAACTAGAGTGGTGACGTCACTGTTTTGTCCGTTACCCTACTACTGCTCCTGCTTGGGGGATGAGAGGGTGCTGACTGAATTTGCTTCGTCCACACTTACCTGTCAATCATTGCTTTTGCCATCAGATTCAACTCAGATGATCACGTCATGTTTCCCAGTGCACCCACGCTCTCTCACCTTAGGTCTGTCCGTATTGTTCTGTTAACTCGGCTCTGAGTTACTGAGGCGGTGTGATCCTCTGGTTAAGAACAGAAGCAACAACCCCCACAGCCCATTTCAGGCTGTTTCAACCTCTCACTGGCTGTTTATAGGATACGGGGAAGTTTCTCGGCGCCTGTGAATCTCAGTTTTCTCATCTATGGAATGCGACTCTATTAATTGCGTCTGATAGTGTTGGGTGTGGAAGAGGTGAGCCCATGCTCACTCAGCGTGTGTCCAGTGCCAATCACGCTGTACCATGTGCTGGGCTCTGTATACTTACTCTCTTCCTCTTAGTAGCCCAGAAGGAAAGGTCGGTGGCTCCATTTTAGAGATGAAGGAAGGGAATTCAGAAAGACAAGTTACTTAGAGCTGGTTGCTCAAATACCGGCAGGATCCGGGGCACAGATGCTCTGCTGCCTCTGGCCTTTTCCACACACCAAGTGAAGAGCTTTCCAAAGATCCCCAAGATGCCAACATTCCAGAGTGGGGTGCTCTTATTCCCACCGGGTCTGGAATCTCCTTCCACGTGCCTTGTATTTGTTCATTGTGATTGGTAGGGTGACTAGAGCCCTGGGGTTGTGGCCTCACTCGGGACTTGGGCTTGAGAGAGAAGGAGAACAAACCTTCCCATCTACTGAATTATTACAGGGTGATGTCACCGACATGCCTTCTTTCTCTATGAGGTGACCAGAGAGTGGGCATACAACTGTTGCCATCTGGTTCTAGGGTTTTTGTTTCTTTAACCCTTCAGCAGAATGGTCCCCATGCCAGCAACATTTCAGCGTGGGTCTGTGGAGTCTGAAGCTCTGCTGTGAAGGACAGTGGAATAATACTGAGCGGGAACCCTACAGGGAGTCCCCTGCACTGCGGCAGTCCCACGGGAGGGGACCCAGGCCCTAAGCACAGAGTTCGGAGCTTCATTTACATGATTAACTCGTTCCCTCTGGAGCCTGAGGTGTTGGCTGCTCACACCTGCTTCTGTTCCGCTCATCCCAGGTTTCCACTCTCTGCACACACTCCTTGGGGTACACTGTCTCCCTTTGTACAACCTGCTGCACTACATCGATAACGGGGTGCTGCTACTCACGGAGACCGCGGTCACCAGGCTTATGAAGGGTAAGCAAGTCTGAGTTGACCACAGGGGGTTTCAGGGCTGACTTCTGGCCATCTCCCTTTGTACAACCTGCTGCACTACATCGATAACGGGGTGCTGCTACTCACGGAGACCGCGGTCACCAGGCTTATGAAGGGTAAGCAAGTCTGAGTTGACCACAGGGGGTTTCAGGGCTGACTTCTGGCCATGTGGCACTCAGTCTGGCTACACTCAGAGGGGCCCCACGCACAACTTAATGTTCCGCAGTAAGATAGTGAAGTTGTTTGTGAGACAGGGTTTCTCTGTGTAGCCTTAGCTGTCCTGGAACTCGGTAGACCAGGCTGGCCTCGAACTCACAGAGATCCCCTTGTCTCTGCCTCCCAAGTGCTGGGATTAAAGCCGTGTGCTACCACTGCCTTGAAGGTCTTATTATTTGAGCATCTGTCTATTTTCCCCGTTTACTACAAATTCTTAGCACATCCCACTTCCTAGAACCTCCCTTCAGGCTAGTCGACAGTTCTTTAGCCCTTCAGGAGGCCCTGAAGAACTCAATCCACATGTTGTCTTTAGTTTTTTTTTTCTGTGTATAGAGTTTTTACTATGAAGAGACTATGTATATGAAGTTTCTGTATATGACGTTTTTACTATGGGAGACTCTGAATTTGTTTTTCAAGAAAGTATTGTGAATTACTTTCAGCCAATTAATTTTGTCACCTTGAATTAGACTTGGAATGCATGAAAAACCAATGAGAGACACAGCGCTCGCTTGAACCTGGGCATTAAGGTCCACCTTGTAATCTTTCCCACGGAAGCCGTTCAGGCATGTGTGTGTGTGTGTTTTGCTAATGTTGTCAAAGCACCTGCCGTGTTCTTCAGCAGCCTCCCGCTCTCAGTTAGTGGGTGGAATTGCTTGGTGGCTGGCAGCCTGTTACAAAACAAAAGTCCCCATAACTGAGTCACAAGCAAAGCTTTCAGAACATCGTTAGCCGTGAACTCAGGGCTGGAACATCTCAGGAGGAAGCGTTCGTGGTTTAAAATTCGCTGCGGTATTGAAACGGATATCTGTATCATATTTGTTAATCTCCACCTCTCTTGTAGATCTGGACAATTCAGAGAAGAATGAACAGCTAAAGTTCAGCATCATCGTGCGGCTCCCTCTGGTAATCCTAAAATTAATTTCCTCTCAAGCCTCGTCCACCCTCCTGCCATGTGTCTTGTAAGAAGACAGTTCCCTTGTTGGCGGAGGTCAATTGAGTGGGCCCTCTTTTCAGCCTTTTCCGTGAGATTCCATCCACCCCCACCCTCTGCACAGCGGGTGCTTCTCGGGTTGGCTGCATTGGAAAGGTGGACGTGGTCTCCTCTTAGGCAACCACGCTGATGTTTACATGGAGTCTGAGTGGGAGGCAGAGGGGAAACATATGCCTTTGACATCGAAACTGATAAGGCTTTGAGCACAGGTGAGGCCTGGAGGTTCTGGAACGGTGTTTCCTCCTCCTCTTACATTTCTGAGCACGGGCAGGCATTACCCGGCCAGAGGAAGAACAAAAGCACAGGAGGAAAACGTCAGGAAGGCACTCCTTGCTCTTTGGTGGGGTATTAGCTCTCAGGGTCAGCAACATGAAAACATGAAATTCCACAGCAAGGTCTTTCGGCCCCCTCACTTTGCAAACTTCCTGACCCTAAGAGCCTGGCCAGTGTGCTGTTTACATACCAAGAGCACGGGGCCTCTGGCACTGGCCATCCTCTGCCCCGTGGCTTTCTGGACCTGTGGCTTTGCCTTGTGGCTGTCCTTCCTGTCACAGGCTTCCTGAGAACAAAGTACCCACCTTTCCCCTGGCTCTGACTCCCAGAGGAACAGTGTTGATATAGTTTGGTCTCCAAATTTGACTTTTTTGTCCCTATGATTTCGAGTATTTAAAGTTTCTGGGACAGATAATAGAAGAGAGACCAACGAAAGCACACAAGCCGCCGCTAGCTTCCTGTCATAATGTCACTCAGGGTTGACACGCTTGTCTCCAGCTCGGAAGGATCTCAGACCCAACATCATTCCAGGAAAAAAAAAAAAGGAAATTGGCGGCATAGCATTAATGCCAAAGTTGCTCTCCTCACGTTGAGGAAAGCTGAGGGAGGGTTTACGAAAACTTCAGAAGCGTAACTCTTGAGCTTGGCCTTTCTCCAGCGGTCATGAGTCAGGGAGGTTCTACATCCCTTTGGGAATATCATGTAGAAGTCAGAAGCTGGTATGTGGTCTGTTCCGTGCACTATGACCTATGCTGTCCTCTGTGATCTTCACCCGTACTCTAGTGTACCGGGCAGAAGGTCTTCCGGCTTTGGGACCATCCCATGAGTTCCAACATCATCTCCCGGAACCACGTGGCACAGATGCTCAGGAGCTACAAGAAAGAGGTGAGCCTCGGTGATGTCCAGACAGTGAGCGTTGCTTGGAGCCCACCTGCATGCCCCGATAGACGTGATTCTGTTTTCTATTGTTCTATTTAAAGCTGCTTGTGTCTTCAAGAAGCGGTCCGTATATAGGGAGTGTATTCTCTTTCAGCCTCGAAACTCTATGATTGGCAAGTCATCGTTCTCAACAGAATTTCTGCCTCTGAACTACTTCATTGACATTCTGGCAGGCCTGGAGTCCTCGCACCAAGGTAGTTCACTCCTCCGTCTAACTTAGGAGTTTCCTTGTCGTGTTGGTCATTCCCAAGTCACAGCTCGATCTGTTTCCTTCCCTAAATACCCTACAAGTCCTTACTAAAACTGATTTTCATTAGCGAGAATACCGTACTTCCTACATTACCCAAGGAATCCTTACCTTTGAAGATCAAAAGGGGCTTGAGGTGTTTAGGGTCTGTTCTGGTTGGTATGAATGTTCTTTAGTGCCAAGCTTTAATGAAATCAACACTCTTTTTTTTTTTTGACTGATAGTAGGGGAACTTGCATAGGACCAGACTAGGGCCTCTGAATGTGGGTGACGGTTCTGTGACTTGGGCAGTCTGTGGGGACACTGGTAGTGGGACGAGGATTTATCCCCAGTGCATGAACTGGCTTCTTGGAGCCCGTTCCCTGTGAAGGGAAATCTTACTCAGCCTCCATATGCGGGGAGGGCTTTGGTCCTGCCTCAACTTGATGTGCCAGACTTTGCAGCCTCTCCGTGGGAGGCCTGACCCTTTCTGAGGAAGGGATGAGGGAGGGAGGGGGAGTGAGAGGAAGGGGCACTGTGGTTGGTATGTAAAATGCTGTCCCCACACGAGCGAGCGAGCATGAGCTGTGTGAATTAGGCTGCGGGTGGCCACTGCTCCACAGCGACTCTCTCTCCCTTCCGCAGCTTCGAGGGATTTCGAAGGCCATGACAGCGTGGACGCAGACTTTGTCGAGGAAGCTGCTCTGAAACACACCTCGGTGCTCTTGGGTTTATGAAAGTTAGCGTGCAGATGGCCTGCGTTCAGCGTCTCGACGCTGTTTCTCCCCGCTTTTCCTGGGAATTCTTATTGCTCCTTAAGAGGGGTAACAGGTCAGAATATACCGTGGAGCTCCTCGGGCTTCGGTTTAGGTCTCAGAAAACGGAGCGCGTCCGCACCCTATCCAGAGAACCAGAGAGCAGTCAAGAGTCAAGATGGCGTCTCGTGTGTGGCAGGAGCAGTGCTCTTCCTGGCGGCTCAGGGCCAGGAGCTAGTTCTGCTGCGTTCCAGGATCAAGTGAAAAAACAGAGGGCACAATGCTTTGAACGGGAAGAGCTAGACAGACCGCTGGAAATAACATAAAACGAGCAGAAAAATTAAATGTTGCAAAGAGGATTTAAGAAGAACCTGGGTTTGGACTAAACAAGACTTGCCATTTCCAGCCCGGAGTAACTGTGACAAACCGCGTTTGTGCATACAGGATGTGAGCAGCCTCTGCCTGTGTGGTGGTTCAGAGGGATGTGTATTTAATGTTTGTATTAATGGGAGTCTGATTTAACGATGCCTTCCCGTTAAACATGACCTCCAGTGCGGAAAGCTGTGGTCTGACTTTTCGCTAAGTTCTGAGCATAGCCTTTTTATTGGCACAGGGCGTGGTGAGCCCATGGGTGTGTTCCTGCAGGACACATGACGACACATGACATCCTCTCTCATCTGTGTCCTACGTCAGGGTCACCCTCACTCACAAGGCTCGACTTCCCCGTTCACTTCTGCTTCTCTCCCTTCTGCTGTTTCCCTTCCCGGTGGTGAAAGTTTAATGACTCTAAATGTCGCTAGCTCATATGCCAATCCACCTCATTTTCTGCCGCCTCTGTTGTCTCTGGAAGCTGCCCCGGCCTATAGGATGTCTCTTCTTGCTTCAGATCAGCCAGGCGTGGGATATGTTGGCAATTATTCAGCAATGTGGAAATGCTGTCTATCTGTATTACTTCTCTTACAAATAACTCTGTACTGGAGAAGGCAGATTTTATTTAGTTCAAATTAAATAAAAAAATCCTCTTTGCAAGTAAAATTCTCACGAACACTTGTGTTTTTAGCCCTTCATCTAGTTTTGCTCAGTTCACTTCCCTCCTCCCATTCTTTGCCTTCGTTTGTTTCTGTTCACACCTGTGTTGCTCCTTTGATTCCCAAAGCTGAGCTTATATGACACATTGTTGAGGTAAACATGGGTTTGATGTGGACACTTGGCTCGTAATTATTCAATAACTTGTTATTCATCGAAAGCTAACATGCAAACTGCTTGGCATTTAACTCTGAAGTTTTGACCCTGTAAAATATGAACATCCTTTTGCAACCAAGCCGAGTCACTGGGTCTCAGAACATGAGTTTGGCCTTCTTATTTCTAAGGTTGGATCAAGTTTCTTCCTCCACTTGGACTTCCTCTCTCTACCCCACAAAAACATCACTTCGTGCTCTAGGGCTAGACAACACACACACACACACACACACGCACGCACACACACACACGCGCGTACACACACACGCACGCACACACACACGCACACACACACGCACGCGCACACACACACACACGCGCACACACACACACACGCACACACACACACGCACGCGCACACACACACACGCACACACACAAACACGCACGCACACACACACGCACACATGCACACACACACACACACACACACACACCTCTGACTGTAAGCCAGACATGTCAGCACCTGGTAGCGTCTGCCTTTTCTCAGTAGCACACGCTACAATGTTTGAGAATCCACCCCTTTCCACTCTTACGGCATTTAAACTCCCTCTCTGCATGTTTTGAATCCTTAAAGAGGTTACCAGCTCCCATGACACAGGAACCCTTTAGGGTGCAGTATTTCTTTTATTAGCTAAATGGCTCAAACAGCTGAAGGCTCTCACTAGCTGTTTGCTTCAAAACAAGGAGGCCAACCTCAGGACTCACAAGATGGGAGTAACTTATATTTACTCTCCAGTGTGGCAGGACCTAGGGGGCTTGGAACAGGATGTTGGATTTAACAAAATAAAAGTATGGTATTTCTCTGTCTCCCAGAACTGGACATGAGTGAAATTCACAATGGCGACCAGCACAAAAGAAATAGCTTAAACATATTAGTAAATGTTCAAATACAGGTTTCACATACTAGCGAATCGTCAAGTCTAACAAAAGCACTGGAATCAGAAAAATACATGAAGCAAAAATTGGAGCAAATTAGTAAAACTATTCCTACAGGAGTTATGTAAGTGCAGAATTTTGGCAGAGATCTTGAAAATCAGGTATCAGAATTTAAAATGTTCATGAACTTGTTTGTGAAAATGCACTTTTAAGAAATGAATCAGGACTTAAATATTTTTGCAGCAAAAAGAAAAAAATTCCCTGTACAATTGAACTGCAATAGCATTGCTTGAGCAGCAAGCTTCCCATTGCTCCGTACAGGGCTTCAGGTGCTGCTGCAGAGGGGACAGTCAGGTGTCTCCTGTTGGGTATCTCCTGTCGTGTGTCTCCTGTCGTGGGTCTCCTGTCGTGTGTCTCCTGTCGTGTGTCTTCTGTCGGGTGTCTCTTGTGTGTCTCTTGGGCTACTTCCCTCTTCAGACAGTCAGTACCTGTTTTTCTTTTAATAGAAAAGACCACTCTAATTTCTGTGTGTCTCTGAGAAGTTATTTATTTTGTATTTTTACAGTGTTTTCTCTACTATACATTCCTGAAATGTAGTCGACATAAACAGTAAAAAGGAAAGACGTGAGCAATGAAAATTCTCTAATTGTAGTCTGTGCTCCATTTGATGTCATACAGTGTGGACTGGTTGGCGAACGTGAGAACCGTGTCTCGCTCCCTTGTTGACTGTGCCCAACTGATGGTGGAATTAGAACCCTGGTGGTCGTTCCCCACTGCAGGTCTGGTGAAGCCTGGACCGGTCCACGCGCTTAGATTTCAATGGGCTTCACCACAGGCTTCCTTATGTGCCTTCTGTTGGCTCCAGTTTCTGAGGGCTTGAATGGAGCCAGCGCCCCGTAGGGTTTGGGCAGAGGAAGCGCGGTTTCTACTTCAGGTATGTAGGCATTTGGGCGCTGCTCTGCCGTCGTGTAAACACCGTTGGGCAGCTGCCGGTAATCTGTTTCCATGTATTCCTGCAAATGGAGGAATTTCAGTTTATTTCAATTTTCTTTAGGCACTGAACTTACTTCTCCTTGGGTCCTAAGGCGCAGCCTTTAGCTCTGCTAGCTGATACTCACCTGTACTTAGTTTTTATTTTACTCTTTGGGGGCCACGACCCAGCTCTCAAATAAATATACGGAGACTTATTTATGAATGCCTGGCCTTAGCTTGACATATTTCTAGCCAGCTTTTCTTAAATTATCCCATCTACCTTTGCTTCTGGGTTTTTTACTTCTCTTTATTCTATATATTTTACTTCCCCTACTTCGTGGCTGGCTGTGTGGCTGTGTGGTTGGCCCCTGGCATCCTCCTCTCCTTCTTTTCTTGCTCCTCCTCCTCCTTGTTTATTCTCTCTGCCCACCAACCCTGCCTATCAGTCTCTTGTTGTAATAGGAGCGGCGGGCTGCGTCCCCAGCACCCGGCCGCCCCCACGGTTAGCTTTACCCGAAATAATTACACGGAAACGGTATTCTTTTAAATACTACCTGACCCATTAGTTCCAGTTTCTTATTGGCTAGCTCTTACATATCGATCTAACCCATTTCTAATAATCTGTGTAGCTCCACGAGCTGGCTTACCAGGAAAGATCTTAACCTGCGTCTGTCTGGAGTGGGAGAATCATGGCGACTCTCTGACTCAGCTTCTTTCTCCCAGCATTCTGTTCTGTTTACTCCGCCTACCTAAGGGTTGGCCTATGAAATGGGTCTAGGCAGTTTCTTTATTAATAAGAAATCACTCCCACATCAGTCTCTCTCCTGCCTCCCTGTTGGCCATTTAGCTCTTTATTAGACCAATCAGGTGTTTTAGGCAGGCAATCACAGCTTCACAGAGTTAAACAAATGCAACACATCTTTGCATCATTAAACAAACACATTCCTCAGTGTAAAAGAATGTAACGTATCTTAAAATAATATTCCACAACATTCGGCAGAGGGGATGAGGACAGGAACGGGAAGCCCGCCCCACCTCTGTGGCCTGTCGTCTGCATGGGTGTGGGCATAGCTCAAGCACCATGCTGATGCTGGGGCTTGGTGTGGGAACCCTTGCGCGGTGGGTTCCACATGCACCGGGCGTCAGCTCACCGTCTGTGGTTGGGCTCTGTTGGTTCCACAGTTTTGACAAAGGCAGCCAAGCTTTTCCTTTGTCACTGGGGGCAAATGTTAAAGCAGAAAAGATTGGCATGGAATCAGAGGGAATGGCAAGCCATGTGGTTTAACTTCAGGGTCAACTCTCTGCCTGTGCTCACGGGAAACAACTCCCCTGCAGCGCTAATGTGAACTATATGGTAGAGAAAGACAGAGGGACGCCACGGGGGGATGCCACAGGGGAACCCCAAGTGTCCAAGGAAGGGTGATCCTAGGGAGCCCAGAATTATAAGCCAGACCCCATGCTCAGGTGTTCCTGTGTCTTTGAATGCACCTTTCAAGGTCTTGGGTGAGAAAGTGAAACAAGACCCTTGCAGAACCATTCATGTGACAGTCTGAGCAAACTGTCCCCATGGTGTGGTCATCTGGACAAGAGACGCCTCGTTCTAATCTTAAAACTATTGAGCGATCATGGAGTTATATGGATGAACGAGGAACCCAACTTGCTGGTGGCTTCCATGACCAAGCAAGACCTTGGTCGCTGAGGAGGAGAAAGGGGTGGCATAGGGATCTATGACACATACCAGGTGTGGTTCTGTCAAGGGCTGAGGTAGCCATAATATGGCTGTAAAGACCGTGACAGATGAACATGGAAGAGTCAGGTGTGGTGTGAGCAAGTGTTGGAGGACAGATAAAGCCATGTTAGAGGTAAAGCCAATGTTAGGGTAGTCATAGACCTGCAGGGAGAGGCCGTAGTGTTCAGACGTCACAGTCCAGGGTACGACTGTGGGCTGGGCCTTGGTGCTTGTCAGGTGATCTTCAGGGAGGAAGGCGGTGCTTTGGACTACTAGTACAAAGTCTTCTCTCCACAGCAAACCCCTTTCTACTCGCCATTCATTCATGTGCTGGAGTGGGAGACTTTCACACACAGGTTGAGTGTGCCTACTAGCAAACTCTGAGGTCCAAAAGGTTCCAAACCTTTTTAGGGTTGATATGACGTCAAAAGTAGATAATTCCACACCTGACATCATATTATATTGCAGTCAAAATACAAATATACTAAAATATCATATTAAAATTACCCATGTGTATGAAGTATATATGAAACAAATGAATCTGGGATTTAAAGTTGGGCCCCACTCCCTAAATATCTCATGAAAATCAGAAAATTCAAAGCATCTCTTCTACCAAGCCTTTCAGATAAGGGGCCACCCACCGCATCATGCGAAGACAGACTCCTAAGGCAACCTCTCCTGGCACACGGCGCCGCATGGGAGTCAACACTTACCTGGGACTTCTCAGCGGTGGCAAAGGCATACATTTCTTCATCTCGGAGAACCTTCAGCCAGTCCTTCTCGATTTCTCTGTTGAGTGGCAGGCCCTTTTCTATCCTGGAACTGCAGGAGAAGATGAATTCTTCTTTCTCCCTCACCTCCTTCTGGAGTTCAATGGTCAGGGCTTGCTTCATGGACAACTCGGCAACCAGGGCCATCATTTTCTCAGTAGCATCTTTGATCCGTTTTTGGTAGCCATTCATCTAGAAGTAGAGAGCCCGAGGTTAGTTCGTAGAGGTATTCCGTGAGGATGCAGAGAAACAAGAGACTTCTGGCCGCCTGGTGTGGGCAGTCTTCCCTGGAGGAGCAAACAATTGACCAGGATTCACAGACAATCCCTGAGAAAGGCTGCAGGACTGAGCCTGCTTGGCTCTCTCCTCTGTTGCCATGAAAAAGCATTGACAGAAGAGACTTGTGGAGAAAGGGACTTTGGCATACACTTCTGT